GAGAATCATTAAACTGGATACATTTATATCCATCAATTTTCGCAAATGTTTTGCTAGAGAATAATTATTTGATAATTTTTGAAATATAGGATTAAATAATAAAATTTTTCAAATGTAGATTATTGAAATCACTGATGTAAATGTTATACGTTTTACATAAGTCATTCGATATCATACCTTGCATGAAAATAAGAAAATTAAAACAGTGTGACCACTTATTTAGGTGATTTTCTTTTATAATAAATAGATTTTCACATAAAGTTTCAATACGTAAACAAATAGAACTACTAATGATGTCGAGTATGTAAAGTTGATTAAAATACCATGACCTCGCAATTATTCGGTATATTGGTTTCATTAAATTTCTAAGAATGCGTTTTTCTGACTAATGACAAATAGAAAATTTTACTTTTACAACTTTTCCTTATTCATGTGTTTATTACTATTACTTTATTACTCCACGTAATTTTTTTTAATATTATAAAAATAAATAAACATTACAATAATAATGAAGTGCCTTATATCGTCACTAATGATAAAAATGACTAGAGTAACTCATTATTTTAATCATAGAAACTTGTTTACTCACGTAAAATTATACATTTGAGATAAAGGGCTCCACAACGCGTAAGCAAGCTTTACAGTAGAATCCAAATGCTTTAAATTATAGTCTTTTAAATGTTCTGCTATACTGATGGTACTCGGTTTTTGATTTACCTTCAAATAAAAAGATTTATTAAAGGATTGCACAGAATAATAGGATATAAGTGAATTTATAACAAAAAATGTGAGGCGATTTACCGAAAACAATATTACATAAATAAATAAAATCATACTTAAAAAAGTAATTTATAAATAAAACAGATTCATATGAGATATTATATCCCTAATAGTATGTGTGTAGTTATTATGTGTGTATGTATGCTCATTTTTCAATAAGCAATGAGTTTTTGAATTAAAACACTTACTCAACTCAAATATATAATTAATTATCTCGTATTTTCCTAAATTTAATTTTAGTTTAATTCCCATGTTTATCTCAGTTTTCTTAACTCGCGTTTTCCGAGATTGTTGTATAAATCGCGACGCGCTCTCGCCAGCGAACAGTTGTATTATATTCTTGCACTGAGAATATATTGTTCAAGGCCGTATGTTGTAATAATTTAAGTTAATCTTAGTAAAATGTTCATTGAAGGTATTCCACCTCCATTTGATATATTACATCTAGATCTACCGTTATTCCACTCATTGCCTCAATTTTAGTTGTATTAATAGGTATTTTTTTATTATATATACAATATCTATTATATATATAATAGGTAAAAATTGAAAAATTATGTAATATTCAGTACTTACGAGACCACTCAGGTTCAATTTTAAGCCACGGAGATTCCATCTGTCAGATTTATGGAATTTGAAAATGTAATTAAATCCGTAATTTCTACTCCATCTTCCAATCTGTGTCACATTCAAATTACTGCCGCATTTTTTACAGGGATTATAAATATCATAAAGAATATATTCGTGTCTATCCTCGATAGCAATCACAAAATCAGTTGATAAACCAAAAGGTTTATCATTAATAATTTCTAACATTTCTTTTAAATCCGGTGCAATTATAAGCCAACTAAAAAGCTCATCAAACATCCTATAATCTGAAGCCTATAAAATACAGTCTTAAAGTAAATATAATCATAACTTCTACAATTTATTTTTGTAAAAATATTTTATGTAGAATACTTCAATTATTTTCAATCAAATTTTCAGTAAAATAGTTACATATTTAATAGATCTTTTTTTCTAATAAATACTATTTTATGTTTGCTGTATAATTAAAAGAAACATTAAGTAAAATAAACAAAATCGAAAAATGTGTGTAAAATCAAATCATGTAGAATTGATATCTGTACGAATTGAATTCGGCTATTCTAATATTTTATCGAAGTCAGAAATCTGCTTAACATAAAATATACGTATTTATAGCATAGTGAGAAATATTTTTTTTACCTTATTCAATAATACTTGAAATTTTTTATTTATCTGACATCGTAGATCAAACACTAATCCTACTCTTAAATGCATGAATTGTTCAGAAAAGGCCCAATTACTTTCTATATTTATTTCAAAAGTCCGAAATACGGATTTTATGTGTGACTCACTCAATTGAAGAATGAACTTTAGATTGTCTGAATATATAACGAAATAACATGGTAAAAGCTTCTAGATTTTTAATATAGTTCCAATTTTCCAAACCTGTGGGTTCATTGCAATGGTACACGATAACACTGGATAAATATTTTGATAAAAGATAGTCGGTGATAAAGCTGTTGTAAATATGTGAAACAGAAAATTGAGATGTTAGACAAAGAAGTAAAAGTAATGTGATTTTGAAATTATGATAACTCATATTAATTTAACATTATAACAACTAATTTGAAGATGTACAAAGTGAACTTCAAATCGTGTATATATGCACGTAAAATACGAGTATACATTTAGTAAAACAACTTATATATGCATGTACAAGACATTACTTGCTTTATTATGTTAATGTCTATCACATGACAAGTATTGATTATAAGGTTCCAATTGCATATCAATCAATTTATTGTATTTTCTTAATATTAATATAACAAATTAGAAGATTAATATTATTTTAAATATATAATTTTATTTTTTTATTTTGATACGCTATGAAAATCAAATATTAGTATAACATGAAAATATTACATAAAAATGAATGATATTATTTCCACACTACCGTTAACGTACATATAATGGCACGCTTTTTATAGTGGTATCCCTAATAGACCGAATCCACTAAATTAATTCGGGACTTTATTAATTAGGAACTTTTTCCTAACTCAATTAGTTACCAGCTACAAATACTTCAAAAAATATTCACTAGACAGAGGAAAAGTAAACATTCCAGACTGTTAATACTGCGAAAATAACCGAAACGATGCAGAGCGCACGTTTTTTGAGTGTAACCAGTGGAATATGGAGAGATGACTAGACATGAAAATATGCAGTATTTTGCCAGAAAACAATGGCGAAGATGCTGCAATACAAAAACAACTGGACAACAACTACGATGTACGTACGTCGAGGTTATCCTCAGAGAAAAGAAGGCGGATGGATGTCTGAAAGTCAGGTAAGTGGCGAAAGTATGTGAGTGTGCAAATGTATGATGAAAAAGTAGAAGTATGTAAGTGGATTGACAAGACAATGAACGAGATATAGGATCAGATGACAGACAGAAACCACGAGACGGTTTTCTCCACCGGGAAGTAATACTAACACGGCTCCCTGATGGAAAACAGACGATGGCGGATATTACTACTCGTACTCTTCTCCGGACGGTTCATTATTCGGCGAAAGAGAAGCAGGTTTTAGGCGGTCAGCTAGATTTCGATGACCTGGAGGTTCTTCGCAGTCGAGCGATAAATAGCCTGAAGCAGCCATATCTGAAGGACGAATGCGTAAGCGGGTAGCCCTGGTGAACTGTCATCGCACTCGATCTGTCACGGTCCATAAGGATTTTACCTAATTTTTTACCACTGGATAAAAAAATCCACTAAATTAATGATTAAAAATTTTACATCACGATATTATCATACCAGACATATCGGAACCAGAAAGAATGAACTGTTAAACGTATGTCGTGATATTATTAATTTTAAATTACAGATTAAAATAATTCAGTGGATTAGACCTAATGAGGGTACTACTATTAAAAAATGCGCTATATTTACCTCAATGGTGGTGTTGAAATAATATCATTTATATAATTTTCATGAAAATTCAAGATATTACTGTAAAAACAATCCGATACGATATTTTTTGCGAGACTTTAAACCAGCACCACTGAAAATAGAACCCTCAAAAACATAGAGAACAGTGATTCCTTAATTTTATTTGTTCGAATTCATGACATGGCTACTATTCAAATGTAGCTCTCGAAAAAGCTTTCTATCGGCGTTAATGGGCTAATAAATCGTTTTGAGAACATAAGACGTTATGTTTTAAAATTATCATAACAAATTTTTTATTTCATATCCACCTATGATACTGAAATTAATATTGTCGTATGAAAATTTAGTCGAAAGAGAAAGAAAATAAATAGAAGAAAATAGAGGAAAATACATTATACTCTCTTGTACAACGTAAATTAAGAAATACGCGAGCAACGGAAACTAATCATCAGAATATTAACCCTATTAAATTTGAAGAATATTCATGGATGTTTTTATAGAGGTAACAAAAATCACATTGTTTAAAGTATTACTCACACTAATACATGATTGAAGCCATAATCATTACTACTGAATATGTAAAGTTTAGTGTTGTATAATATACTATAATAGCTTTATCGATCGTAGATTGAATTAATCTTTTGGATAATTTATTTTAAAATAAGTAAAATTTTATCGGTTTTTGTGAAAAAATGGGTGGAAGTTCTATTTTTATTCATTAATGCATATTGATGTATATAGTTTATTTTAAACAGCATGACTTATTTGTGCTCCTTAGAATCTCGAAATTAGCATGTAAAATATTCAAATAATGTAATAAATAATAGTAAAATATAAAAAAAAGAACACGTGAAGAGTGCTAAATATAACACTAGTATAGTGAAAGTATAATCTGATTCGATCGACATAGATAACGGTGAAAATGATTTATTTTCTTTCTCGTTTAATTATAAGGAGCAATTTTTTATAATTACTAAGTATTTAGTTTAATACTTCTAAATTGAAGCCTCGATCATCATTTTACTAGTATGAATTATACTTTTTATAGCATAGAAATAAGTAATTAATATAGTTTTTTTCTTAATCATTATTCATCAAAATATTTATTTATTTAAAATAGATTCAAATTATCTGTGTATAGTTTACAATTTATAGAATGATTAACAAGTAAGTGCAATTCATTTAATATACATTTACGTATTTATAAACTATATGTTTGTTTTATAGAAAGTTAAATAAAATTAGCTGATTTTCAGTCAATTAATTTTGTTGGACTTTGCAAAGACTTCTCCGTAAAATCATTAATTGTTTTTTGTGAAACATTCTCAATTTTGTTTCGCAAGCTGGAACGTTTATTCCTGAAACAATATATTAAAATCTAGTAATTGATTTGTTAGTATTAATAAATTAATAAATAATCAAGTAGTAATTTTATGGATAAATTGAAAAATAAGTATTTACTTTTTATCCATGCCAGATGAATATAAAAATTTGTTTCTACTTATTCAAAATTTAATTCAAAATCAAATTTAATTAAATTCTATAGATATATCAGTACAAAACCTCTTATGAAATTTTATTTTTGCTAGTATATAATTGAAATGCATATGTTGTATAATTTCCAATAGAATTATCGCATCAATTATACTTACTTCGAAACCTATTGTGAAAAACTACGTGTATTCTTACCTTTTATGGTAATATGAAAATATCAATTCTGTCGTTAATAAAACACTTGCAACAAGCATGCTACAAAGTAAAAAAATTATAGCTGGAGCAACTTCTTTGATAGTTATACTATCTGCTGTCAATAAATCAGTTCGACAAAGTGGCTTTCTTGACGACCACATTTGGATTTGACGAAAACGTATGCCAACTTCTGTAAGACGTAAAAATCTGGAAAATAAGATATTGCACTGAATAACATACTGCATACCCACATGAGATTAGTATTTTCCAATAAATTTACCCCGATTTAAACATTTCTATAAAAGAACTGTTAATATGAACGAATAACGATAATTGTACTGGTCTTATTAAATGAACTTCTTGTATTTCGCAAATTTTTCGATGGTCAAAATGACGCTCTATATAAGGATAACTTATTTCTGGATGTGTGTGATAAGCAAAACCACCTTTCAAAACTAGTGACATTCCCTTTTCAGGCGATATAAATCTTTGTGATTCTGGAATTTTTGACCAACGAGTTAAATAAAATGATCTAGTTTCCCAATCAGGATTCTGAAATAATATAAATGGTCACGTATTAATAATATTTGGTATTAAGTTCGTTTTTTAAATACTTTCAAAACTAAGATAATGATGAAAAAGATAATTTATATTTTTTATTGTGTATATAAAAGGCTAAAAATGATTTTCTTTTATGAAAAAATAAAATTGAATTTAAAGTTACACAAAGTTTGAAAGAATATACTTTCATTATTTTGCATTAAAATTAATCTACAATAATCATTGTAGTTAATAATCAGAAAACTAATATTTTTCCAAATATTATTTAAAAATAATTATTTATAAACATTTTATGTTGTCGATATTTTATACAAAATACATAGAGAAAGTATATGATAAACACAATATAAAATACGAAATAGTTTAAGTTTTAGTTTGTTTCATTCAACTGCATTTGAAAATACGTTTTGTTTGATACCTTCATATGGTGATCAAAATCAAGCATCGGTTCTGATGCATATTCAAAGTCTTTATTTCTCAACTCGTGTAGAGAATCATTGATAAACTTTATCGGCTCACTCAATCTGTTAGATACAGCACTTGCCAAATAGTAATTATAAAGCAATAAGTAGAATAATAGTATATGAAGGATAGCTATTCGACCAGACAAATTGTTAGAAGAAAATTCGGTACCTGAAAATTTTAAGGAGGTATTTAATTGCTAACTGCTCAATTAAACTGAAGCTTCGAAAATCTCTGAAATATTATTTACCTTGTTGGCAAAACGCTCCAACATTTATTATTATTGAACGAAGATAGTTTTCGTAAAAATCTTCTTTTGCAACAACAGACAAAAGCGCCAAAGCATTAACTGATAATATACTCAGTGCAAGGGTCAAATACCATACGGTTGAAGATAATGGAAGAAAAATGTCTCGGACACTTAATCGATCGGAAGAGGTACTCCGGAATATAAAACTTGTTCTGAAATGTTGTTTTAGATTATATTACACTGTTGAGTAAAAATTATGAGTTCAATTAGATTGATTGAAACTCTATAAATGAGATTTTATAACATATATGAGGATATCCACGGAACTTTTAACTTTCGGGAAAGAAAAAAAAAATTTTTTTTTTTGATAGCACACTCTAAACAAAAATTTTTTGTACAGTATTATGTCCACAAAGGAAGAAAAAAATAGTGCTCACGATTTTTTTAAATAGTTATTTTTTTAAAAAAATTAATAAAAAAATTAAAAATTAAAATTATTCACTTTAACGATTACGGTTTCCAATGAGATAGTATAGTTGTTTTTAAACTCAATAACTGTCACTTTATTATTCAAAAATGATTTTCGAAACATATCAATATATTATAAATCTTATAAATAAATATATTATTTATATAACGTCAAAATAACAATATAAAATATAACCAAATCATTTTTTTTACAAGCTTCTCTTCTTAGGCGCTACTTTCTTTGGTTTTTTCTTTATTTCTCTTTTTATTGTTGAGGGAGATAAATTCCAGCTTTGAGGTTTCAAAGCATAATGATCGCATGGCAGTTTTTCAGAACATGTATTACAAAAAAGATAATTTAAATACAATAATTCTTTTTTTTCTTCACTCCACAACAATTGAAAGATTTGGTTTGAATTTGGAGCTGCTTTTAAATCAGATCTAACGAGTAAGTCTATAGCTTCAATATCACATAACTCTACTTCAAAGGTTTCAATTTTAGTTTTCGATTCTTTTTTCAGTGCTGTTATTATATCTTTGACTGAAGTAATATCGTTTCCTAACAAAACATGATCATCACATAATCGCTTTATTGTTCCACCTATAGCATCGGCACTGCTCTTTCCATGACCTGGCGTCGAGATATTCCAGGATGCTCGCTTGAGTTTGAGCTTGTTGCAGAAATGATGAAATAGTTGGAAATTTGTTTTATTCTTATATTGGGTTGTAGGCCCATCGCTCCTAAAATGAATACTTTCTACATCCGGTACAACCGATTTTATCAAGGCAATAATTGGCTGCATATGAGCCCACACAGCCGCTGCATCGTGTCTCAAACTCTCAGATATCGTACAAAATGATTTACAAATAATGTCGCCATTAGATCGTTTATAATAGAAAACCCCAGTATGCATAGTTAACTGTTTTGCAGAGGCACCAAAATGTACTGCTTGTATCTCGCTTGCGTATTTACATACATAGTTTTCCGAAAAATCTATAATAACATATGCTTCATTTGCTCTCAAGTTAGATTTTATCATGTGAAAGAAATTCATCTGATGGCTTGTATTGTAAACATGTTTCAAATATGACGGTAACAGTAGATTTAAATCTTCAATTATTTTAGAAACTGAACATTCTATTTTAGTCTTTTTAGTGATATTAACAACATAAGTTTTATTATGTTTGCCTATTCTACTTTCTTTGTCAGTAACCCATTTATAGTAATAAGACTGCTGTCTATTTTCAGCTCTTTTAACAATTCTTCTCTTACATATTGAACACTCTCTATAAATGCATGCTTTACTATTCGGATCACATACAATACGTTTAATAAACATATTTGCATTTGCAGTTTCGACAATTGAATGATAGAATAATTTCTGTAATAAATAATCAAAATTCACATGTACTTTGCATAAACATGTGTCTCGAGCAGATAATTTCTTTTTTAGAATCCAAAACGGTTTGTATCGAAAAAATGTTGACCTACCTATCTTCAAAGTTTCTTCTTTAAGGAACTTTTTATACAAATTATCGAGAGTATCTGTCAAAAATCGTTTGGTTTTAGTGATACCTTTCTTTGATATAATATCATTTTTACCTGGAGCTACTGATGAATTTTCATCTCTTTCAAAAAAAATCACATATGATCTTACGGATTAATTCAGTTTTAATTGTCTTCTTTTTATTGGAGCGACTAAAAACTAATTTACTGTATCTTGAGAATTTTCGCTGATAATAACTGCTGACATATTTATTCATTTTTTTAACACACTTATTTTTTTTTGCGACTCTACCCGATATCAACTGAGCATACATGGATTTATCCTTTTCATTTTTACACTTTTTTTTATTAATTAGTATTTGTGATTTGATGACTTCACCTATTATTAAGCTTTTACGTATTTCAGATTCTCCTTTGCTCATTATATAATTTACGTTCTTGTTAGTTTCATCATTGTTTTCGTCAGAATTTTTTTTCAGCAATTTGAAGTATTTATTTTTCCATTTCTGACTTTTGATTTCTTTTTTTTTAATAACATTATGTAATTCGATAATAGTTCTTCTGACTCTTCTTTCTCTATTTTTGGCACAATTCAAAGAAGTTTTTAATTTACCAAGTTCAATATTTAGTTTTTTTGAGTATTCTGAAGAACATTGTGTTACATTGTTAGTTGAATTTACGCTCATAAATTCACAACAACCACTGTGATGAGAAATGCAAGAATTTAGCTCTTCATCTGAATCATGTTTGTTCACATAATTATCACAATTATCAACAGAATCAGGAGTATAAGAAGTATGTGCAGTTTTTTTTGGGCAGAAGTTTCATTTATTGTAGAAGATTTACGCTTTCGATGATTAAAATAAGTTACTGGTTTGGTTTCCCGGAGGCAACTGCTAATACTTGCACTGTTTTCCGACACTCCATTATTTATACCAGAATGGAAACTAGAATAATGAAAATATAATCAAACTAAAAAAACTGCATTGAATTAAAAGTGCACTTGAAGCATTTGAGCAAAATATAAACTTTATCTATAATTATCCGGCAACAAGTAATATTATATTTTAAACTACTTACGTGTCATATTTGATGTTAGTTTTCTCTCGATTGAATTTTTGAAGTTTAATTTTTTGTAGTTCCTGCTTAGTTTTTAACAGCTGCCTCTTTTCATTAGTCTTTTCTCTTTTCACTCTTTTCAGCTCATCTTCGTTTTTTTTGCAATCCATTTGTAACTTTTTTCAAAAACTTCTCTTTCATTATGAAATAAATATTCAGTATGAACATCGAGAACATTCGCCTGCTAGTACCTACATTCAACTGACCGCGTGCTCTGCTTACTCAAGCTGAAGACACTCAAAATGTTTGTTTACATATGAACACATGAAATGATTTGCGATGAGCACTTATTCCAGTTCAAAACAAATATATATTTGTGTCGGATATAATGAATTCATTTAGATCAAATGAACACAAATTTTGAATTTTTTTGTTAGCTCTTATCTCAGTCCCATATGAAATTGGTTTTGGAATCTTTTGATATATATTTTCTTAGACTATAAAGTAAAAGTGGCAAGTACTTTCAAGTATTTATCTGTTAAACTTTAATTGTGCAAGTAAAAAAACGAATTTTTTCTACCGAGTGGACAACAGAGTAATCACATTTTGGACCGCTCTAACTTTTTACTCAAAAGTCGCACATCAAAAAATAAAGCAGATTTAGATAGAGTTTTTTGAAGAGTAACGAAAAAAAAATATTACACCCGGTTATCGGAAAAGTTATTTTTTTAATTCGACTAAACCCGATTTTGTTTGAAATATTGAAAAATGCAGTTTCCTTTACATTTAAACTGATTTTCGCACTCTGAGACTAGGCACACTCGTGAAAACTATTTCTTTGGGTTATTCAAGTCTAGATTGTAGTAAAATAATTTTATTAGATTTTTTGGAAAAGAGTTATTTTTATAATGGCCTTAAGAAAAAAAAATTATGTGGCAGTTCTTTTTCAAATTAACTAAAAATGAGCATATTCTATTTTTTCCCGTAAGTTATATAACACTTGACCATGAATTGAATAGAGTACCCTTATTTTATTATTATTCCCTTCTAGAAACTATTTTTTTAAATTATGAAACACTTCCACGTCATGCTGAAACATAGCGGTTTCCCGAAAGTTAAAAGTTCCGTGGATATCCTCATATATATTATACAGAAAATATTTAACATACTCATTTACTCGCGTGTATAATCAATAGCTTATTGTTAGGATATTGATAGATATGGTCATTATTAACCTCGACAAGCAAACCCAATACTTAGTAATAGATTTATGTAAATTATTATACAGTCAAAATTATTTTCTTGGAAATACTACACATGAAATAAAAATATCATCAAATATTCGATTGCGAGTTATGAACATATCTAAACTTTGTATTTTGTACATCGATTTTTTGATTAACTTGTAGTTAAACAATATGATACTTGATCAAATTATTTAAAAAAAAACCATACAATATTGTATTTGAGTCTTGTCCTAGTAATTCCACTGTATTAACCCATTAAGGCCCATGCCAAACCTGGGAAAGATAGCGCCAAACTAACTATGCCAATCGTAGCTAAATCGAAAAAAAAAATACCCGTGTTTTTTCTTTTGCCATTTTCAATTGTTTATAAAAAATTATTTAAACAAATTATCAAAAAGTTATTATTTTCAAAAAACTGATACCGGCAATCGATTCTACGGGAAAAAACATGAAAGAAATGTATATAACGTTTTTTTGTCAGACGTCAATTTGTTAGTGTAAAACGGCTATAAACAATTGCAAGTCTGTCAGGTACATGTGTATACGCCAAATCCCAAGCAAAATCTATTGCCGATAGCGCCAAACTAACTATGCCAATCGTAGCTAAATCGAAAAAAAAATACCCCTGTTTTTTCCTTTGCCGTTTGCAATTGTTTATAAAAAATTATTTAAACAAATTATCAAAAAGTTATTATTTTCAAAAAATTGATAGCGGCAATCGATTCTACGGGAAAAAACATGAAAGAAATGTATATAACGTTTTTTTGTCAAATGTCAATTTGTTCCAAAAACAAATAACTGTAAAATAGCGATTTTCTATAATACATTCAAATTTCTATGAAGCTTCATCCTTGAAGCTTCATCCTTTTGTAATGAAAACTGAATCCATAATATTACATAAAACCGTTAGCCCGCCACTCAAACGTGATCTCTAACACGGTTTCAATAGAAAAAAAATTTTGCAAACTCTTTGCAACTTCGTAACCCAACAATTACTATGTTAGTCAAATTTCCAAATGTACAATTTGTGAAAATTCAAAGCTTTTTGTCCTATTTTCTTAAACAAATTGACGTTTGACAAAAAAACGTTATATACATTTCTTTCATGTTTTTTCCCGTAGAATCGATTGCCGCTATCAGTTTTTTGAAAATAATAATTTTTTGATAATTTGTTTAAATAATTTTTTATAAACAATTGCAAACGGCAAAAGAAAAAACAGGGGTATTTTTTTTTTTCGATTTAGCTACGATTGGCATAGTTAGTTTGGCGCTATCGGCAATAGATTTTGCTTGGGATTTGGCGTATACACAGGTACCTGACAGACTTGCAATTGTTTATAGCCATTTTACACTAACAAATTGACATCTGACAAAAAAACGTTATATACATTTCTTTCATGTTTTTTCCCGTAGAATCGATTGCCGCTATCAGTTTTTTGAAAATAATAACTTTTTGATAATTTGTTTAAATAATTTTTTATAAACAATTGAAAATAGCAAAAGAAAAAACACGGGTATTTTTTTTTACGATTTAGCTACGATTGGCATAGTTAGTTTGGCGCTATCTTTCCCAGGTTTGGCCTGGGCCTTAATGGGTTAACAGATTATGAGTGAAACAGTCTATACTATTACTTTACTCATGTTATACTTGACTTAAGTTTTAATTGTACTCATTTTTCTAGTTTACTTTACCAAAGAAGCATTAAGATAAGTCATTATAAATACAATTCATTAAGATAATTTTGACGTAATGATCAAACCTATTACAGTAATCTAAGCTGTGATCTCTCGCTTATAAAATCTACCCGGTTGCTTTAAACGTAATTTACAAAATATTCACCTGTAAGGTATTGATGGATACACTGCTTTTAATAGATCAACGCGTTGTGTTGTCATTATTTCAGCAGTTCCACTAGCATCTATTTCACCTTTCATCAATGCAATAATAACTGGGTCATTTTCCTCTTTTTCATTCACATTGCTACTTTCACTAAAATCGATGCTACGAATTTAAATTTCAAATAATTATCAAGTTATATAAAATGCGCTGAAATAGATAGTAAGATACTAATTTTCACGGAAAAAATAATAATGAGTAGTTTTCTTTATTTGTAAAATTATTACAATTATTTTTATTTTAATTTTTCCAGATAATTAAATAAAAAATAATCGTGTCAAGTGAAACAATATCTATTCTATATGTTTTCAAAGCGAATTTTTAATCAGAGAAATTGGTTGTTATAAAAGTCTTATAAGCATTTGTGTAATAATTAATTAATAGCTATAAAAATAAGTTTTTTTTGCAGATCATTAATCTATATATAATTTTTTTACTGTAAGATTGATTATTGATCTTCAATAACGATTTCATAGATTTGAAGATTATATTAAATCATCACTATTTTGCTATAAACTGAATTTATGTGAAAATTACTTTACATACGTAAAATTAAATTTGTCAGCTACATGCAACCACATAACATAAGCTATTCTCGTCATACGATCAGAAAGTCGAAAATTATTATCTAGTAAATAGTCAGCGACTGATATATTTGATGGTTTATTTGTTACCTGCAATTCAAAATAACAGAATGATATGTTAAAGCAAAGAGTAAAGGAAGTTGCTGCTTTTATCGACGTGATAAGTATTTTTCCGGATTGTAGTGTCAATAATATTGCGTATTTGCGTACTATCCCACTTATTTTTAACTTCAATCCTTCAAGATTCCAACGACGAAGTTTGTTCATTTCATAGAGCATCTTTAAACCATTAGTTTTGTCCCAACTGCCTATTTTTGACACTTTTAATTTTCCTCCTCGTACTTTGCATGGGTTATAAACATCGTATAGCGTAAACCAATTATTTTCAAAAACTGCAATAACAAAATCAGTTGATAAACCAAATGAATTATCATTTATAAGAGATAAGCCTTGATCCAAGCTGGAGCTCAATATAAGCCAATAATACAATTCATCAAACATCTTATAGTTTGTTGCCTGTAACAGTTAAAAGAAAAATAGAATGATGTTAATGTAAATGTATATTAATTTTTTACTTTATCAAAAGTTGATTTCACATATTCGGGAAGTTGGCAGCGTAAATCTATGAAAATTCCCAATTTTTGATAGACCATTTTAGTAAATGTAAATAAATCAGAAGTATTTTCCAATTTTCGAATTGCAGTTTGTAATTGCACGTCACTAAACTTTTTCAGTAAATGGACATCACCTAAAAAAGTGTGAAATTTCAAGTTATAAATCATTATTTTCTATCTTTGCAATTATATGATTGTTGCATATACTGTCGTATTGATTGCACGTGAAAGCTATAACATTTGACGGAGCTCTGAATAAGAAGTAGTCTGTAATAAATACATTATTCACATCTGTATCACAAAAATCGACAGGTAAAAAAAGAAATATTATAAATAAAATTCTTAATGTTATAACACTTTTGAAAACGTTTAGCATTTCACAGAAAATATATCTTAAACTCTAGAAACAACTAATATTTATGTCTTGGATTTTTCTGCAGAAGCATTCAATGACTCAGTAATTGCTTCATACATTTTTTAAAAGTCTCGTTCCATATCTTACATACTCAAATTAATTATTCATGCTACTTTTTTCTGCCAATCAACTCTGATTATCGATTCAATTAAGTGGTCGATAACTGTCTTTTTATGAGTAAATAATTGAAATAATTTTCTCTTCTTTAGCGGTCACAATGTAAAATGGTTATTGATTTTCTCGAACACTCAGCTAGATTTTTTGCGTATTTACTTAAGTCAAACTTATTACGTCATGATTGTTAGAAACTCTAATATATGTATTCTAATATAGTTTTTTGTCCGTAGTACGTAAATTTTGTTTATGTATCCAACCTATGTAAAGGTAACTTGTTTACCGCTTTAGGTAATTACATATGTACATGGAACAATCCATGAACTTTGTATTTTTTTGGATCAATAAATTTAATTCAATTCAAACTGTAATATAAGTGTGATCGAACTTACTAAAATAAAATTGAAGAATGTTCCTTAGTAATAATGCTAAGGTGTGAGATGGAGTGGATTAACGATTTTTGTGCTGAGTTAGGATTTTTTTAATTAATTAATTAATTAATTTATTTTTACAAAGGCTTAGTCGATATATATATATTCTATACCCAGACAATCAGTCTCGCGTGTATAGAACGGCGAGTGGCTAGTACAGATCGAGTAGCGCCTCAACAGCCATGGTGATTTTATAGTCCCGGCATGTCTCCCCCGTCCCCCACACCCTTATGTGGAGAATGTCTGCGTTGAGTCTGTCACGAAATCTTTTTGCGTCCTCTACAACAATATTTCATAAATATAATCATTTTATACTTTTAATTATATTACAAGTATTAATTATATTATATTATATTACATTTATAATTATAATACAGAAGAATTATAAGAATTGTAATACAAGATTGTAATATAAGATTAATTATATTACAAGTATCTTTTCATTATAGAAATGACTGCTTCTAATGCATATGGCTTAGTATTCTGTATTTTCATTTCCATGCAATTTCCAGTGCATGATTCAAGAACTAGATCATTTACATTTACAATTATATGCATGGTAATTTTTAGACACATTATACATTAAGTGTAATCCAATTACAACCTTGTGGCAGGGAATTTCGGGGGTTTTGACCGCGCTCCGAGCTTCTTCCGCCATAAGGCCTGTTTGGCTCTACCCTCGATTATTTAGGGCGCCAGACCGTCGGTTGATTACGGCGATCGTCGGGGGTAAGGCCAGTAGGGTTATCGCGTATCCCGGTCTGCTTAACGGCGACTGCGCAGGGTGGGCAGACGGGGGATACGCGTGGTATCCTCACTTCAGGCCTTGGTGTCCAACCTTCGTTTCCAATTTTCCTCCTTAATTAGGGTATGCCGGCAACTCAGGTGATGGCTCCTTGATTCAGGTCGTGAATACGTTCGAAATCGCGCGTATGTTACCTATCGAGTGACCCGAAAATATAGCGAATTAGTGATACCCGATTATGACCGCTCGCGGCTGAAAATCACTAACATACAGTCGAGGTAGGATATCAAAGTAAATTATATGTACATAGATAATTAATTACTTTATTGATATTTTAATAATTTACAAGTAAGAGGTCGGAGTGAATAGGGTCGGTAAAAATCTGAATAACTATAAATCCGTAAGGATACAATTTAATCGGAACGTTAATGATTTTCCGGTCGGTCTTCGGTTAACAAAGAGAGAGGGTCAGCGCAAATAACTCAGTCACGAATTTCCTTTGTCTGATCTTACCGCTCACTCTCGGTTCATAAAATGGCGGAAAGGTCGGCGCGAATATCCTCGATCTCAATTTTCATGGGTTAATCCTAACGCTCACATTCGGTTTACGAAATGGCGGGAAGGTCAACACAAATAGCTAATCAAGACAATTTTATTCGATTAAACCTACGTTCGTAATAAATAACTAACGAAAGGTCAGCGCGAATCCTAACTCGCAATTTTTATTCGTAACATCTAACACTCAATAAAAGTTAACGAAAGGTCAGCGCGAATACTAAATCGCAATTTTCTTTCGTAAAATCTAACACTCAATAAAAGTTAACGAAAGGTCAGCGCGAATACTAAATTGCAATTTTCTTTCGTAAAACCGAACACTCAATAACTAGTTAACGAAAGGTCAGTGCGAATCCTAAATCGCAATTTTCTTTCGTAACATCTAACACTCAATAAAAGTTAGCGAAAGGTCAGCGCGAATACTAAATCGCAATTTTCTTTCGTAAACCGAACACTCACTTTATATCTACGGAATGGCGGACAGGTCAGCACGATCCGATAGGCACCGGCGTCGACGGATCCACGCGTCGCGACGACCTGCGGCACTGAACGATTTATTCCCGCACTCCGCGATTAAATAAAAATGAGTGGCACTTTGCCTACTTACAATTTTTTTCCTTGCGGTATAGGCAAACAAAATTGGCAAAAATATCTGAGAGGCGTTTAGCGCTAATAATTTGGCAGCAAGATTAGCTGATAGAGAGGCTCCTTCTATCTAGATATCCAGTGGCAAAATGGACGAGAATCGGCTTCTCGCGGTCAAAGATTGCTTTTCTTCTCCTCTTTCCGAGAAGAAATGTTATTATTGGTCGGTATGCTAATTCGGATATCGGTAGCGCCCTCCGAATATTTTATTATTGGTCCGTATGTAAATTAGAAGGATACAGCGCCCTCCTTAACTCTCCTACTTTCGTCGTTATTTACCCTCTCTCACCCCCCCCCCCCCCCCCCACTAAGGTAGCTATCGTTAGTTGTTGGAAAAGATCTACCCCTACTCTTATCTATTTGTCTATCCGGACGGAAATCAAATTTTATTCTAATTTGCTCATTGGTCGTGACGCCACTAGCGAATTTTGTCAGAGGTTCAAATTCGGTCAGTTAATTTATTATTTAAACCTAAAGGGGGTAGTTGTTGCTCGCTATCATAATAGGGGTGTCGGCCGCGTGCGAATTTTACAATTCGATATTTGTTCCACGCTCATTATTTTCCAATTATAATTTTAATTTTATTGTCATAGATACGTATATAATATACGCCGTTTCATTTGTAGCGCCCTCATCTTCGCATTTACATATTATTCTATCTATTATTTTATATCGTCTGTCTCGCTCGCTCTTGTTTCGTCTATTTCGCTCGCTCTGTCTCGCTCGCTCGCTCTCAGTCTATATCGGCGCTTCAAGTTGGCCGCTCAGTTCCTAGCGCGTACGTCTCGTGTCCTTGTGCTGGTTGTTGGAGCGCCTCCTGGGGCGCTCCCGTGTCGGTTCTGTGATGTTCCCCCGGGTGTTTGTGTGTGTGGTTGCTGGTATTCGTGTGTGTGGCGCTCAGGATGTCGCCGATGGTGTTCGGCAGCCCGACACAGCTGATTGCCGGCTGCCACTTCATCGGCGATTTTCTGCTCGCCCCAGGAGTGTCAGTGCCTCGGGAGTGTTAGTGTTGGTGTCTGGGAGTGTAACGGATCTGCATGTGTCATCAACATGCATTTCCGTTGCATTTCCCAGTCAAGTTTTGCATTTTTCTTTTGCCGGTCGGCAACACGTGGTCGGGAGTGTATGTGAGTGAGTGTGTGCGTGCGCTCTCTTTTTCTGTGGTGCGCTCCTTTTTTTTCTGTCTGCTCTTTGAGAGTCCGTCGGATCGCGTTAGACAAGTTTGTGAGGCGCGAATGCCAGGGTGAATAAATGATGACAAATATGTTAGTTAAAGGGTAAAGATAATAATTGATTAGTTATTTGAAAAGTAGCTAAAATGAATACATAGAGCTACAAAAATACGACTAAGTCGAAACTCGCTTATAAAGACCGTGACCGAGTATCTCGCAGAAGAAAGAGATATTTTCAAGTCGAGTGCTCGAGCGAGAGTCCTCGTCAATCGTTCGCCCCCAAGCGAAGATGCTGCCCTTGGACATGGGGGGAAGGTAAGTCCCACCCACGAGGTCCGAGGAAAGGGTAGCCGGGGACCGACGGGGAAGCAGGGTGATGCGGCGTAGTTTTCCTTGCAAAGACAATAGAATAAGAGAGCGCGCACGATCATTAGTTTTATTGCGCGTGCCATAAAAAATTCGGAGCTCGGAAAAACTCGGAACGACAACTGGCCGCCAGGTGAATTATATCACTTTATTACTTGACGACCAAAAGGTTTATGTCAAGCGACGCCTGGCTACCAGCTGATTTAAATCGTTTCACTGCTTGGCAAACGAAAGGTTTCGACCAAGCAGATGAAAAAGATAAAGCACGCTACATTTGTTTCATCCATATCGCCGGCGTGGTCGTTCGGACATAAAAAAGAGTAATTGTTCGGTATAGGGCGCGTTTAACTTTATTTTATACAACCGGTTATGGGGCGGCAAGGGACGGGGATGGCCTTTCTGAGGTGTTGCAAATAATGCAGCACTCAGGAAAGACCTTGTAATGTACCGCATTACAACCTATACACGAAATAATTCTTGCATTTATTGCAAAATTGATATGATACGACAGGAAAAAGAAACGTGAAGGGAATAAATGAAAGGAAAATTCTTGGTATGAGGGGGACAAAATGCTACGTGCGACAAGATCAAGGCATGACAAAAACAGACTCGTGTTCTGCTCTTTCATTTATACTTGATTTACATAAATAGCTTTTATTGACAAATTTAGAAGACAAATAGGACAGGCGTGGTTAATACATTTGGTTAACTTTAACTCAATTTCAAGAGCACTACATTTTACGCACGTATATCGCTGATTATAATGAAATTGATATTTGTTTAACGTTAAGTAATCGCGTAACTATGTGATGATACGTCATCACTTAAAAATCATTTTATCTTATACAAGCCCCGCTCCCGATAAGAGCACGTGATCGAACAGCTGATACCGCATAGCCCACCCGCACACTTTCGAGATCTCGCGATTCACGA